TTGACAGAACTGCACTTTCTCCAGCAGAAGGCGTTACATGAATATGACTGTTTGAAGCCTTCACGTAACATATTCGTCAAACAAACAAAATATTACTGCCGCACACACAATAATTTCGAAACTAATGAGATATTTCCGTTCACTGTAATCATATGTACTGGTTTATTCTCCACCATTGCCAGGGATTATGTGGTCTTATACCATGGTTGCGTGAAATCCTGGAGTGTTCTACCACCGCGTCACAAATGCTAGAGAAAGCTTTATGCGGGAGCACCGGGGGCGAAGTAGTGTTGGGGCTGGGAGGGGACGAAGCAGCCGGCGTCACAGGTGCAAGTAACCCCCAGGTGCAGGACGCTCCAGCTGAAAAGTCACAGCATGTGATAATCGCTGCGGACTCGAATTTAAATCGATGCGCAGAAGCAATCAAAGAGAGGGCAAGAGGTGACAAGAGGGTTGCAGTAGGGACGTTCCCAGGACTCAAGCTTGAAGCAGTCATGAGACAAGCGAGCGCAAAACTCAAAACTACAGCTGATAGACGAAACCTTGTGATAACTTCAGGCGGTTTAAACGATGTCTTAAATGGACATACGGCAGGACTAGCGACCACACTGGCGAAAGGGGTCGGTGAGATGCGCGCCACTTCTCCTCAGGTACAGGCAGTGATACGCACGATACCGGAGGTACCGGTGCGTCACGGCAACCTGCAAGGAGCGGTTGTCAACGCAAACCAAGAGATATGGCGGATAAGTCGAGAGAAAGGCTTTGAGGTGGTGGAAATAAACAGAAAGGTGCATAGGTGGGGTGGTTTTCAACGAAACTGAATTCACTTCGATGAGCGGCTAGGTCATGAGGTGGCTTGGTGACTTGCAGGACGTGCAGTAGATTTTTTGGGGGGCACGCGGGCCCTTCGGGGTGCAGGACAGCTAGTAACGAGGGAAACAACCCGGGAGACCCTTTGACAGGGGTTATGGACAGATACGATTCTAAAGTGGCACCAGTATCTAAGATAGGTAGAGTCCGGGGCAGAAATAGACGTAGCCACGAGCGCCGAGCCAATTCACACACAGGGTATATTAACATGCAGGGTGCAGGAACAGGCTGAAGTGGGAAGAGATAGAAGAGCAGTTAAGAGAGCAGAGGCCGATAGTATACAGTCTTGTAGAAACACATCTTATGGACATGAAACAACCTCCAACAATCTGGACTACGTGTGGGAATATTGTAATAGCACAAAAGGCAGCAGAAAGGGGGGTTGATATTGGGGCATTCATTCATAAAAGTACAGAATGGCAAAGGGTCAAGCCGGAGTGCAAGGAACATTTAAGGCTAAAAGGGAAAGTGGCAGGGCAAATGACACTCCTTGGTTTGGTGTACTTGTGGACGGGAGCAAAGGCCAGAGAGGAAAACCAGGCAATGGAAGCGTGTATATCAAAGGACATTGAGGAGTTAGGAGGAGAGTTCGAGATAAATATACTAGGAGATATGAATGCGCACATAGAAGATATAGATGGGTATAGCAATCCAACCGGCAAAATGATCATGGATATGTGTGAAAGACGTGATTTGATCATTTGCAACAGTACCGAGAAGAGTGAAGGGGAAATAACATGGGAGGTAGAAAGATAGAGAGAGAATAAACATTTATTAATAACAAATGCACACTGAGCCTTCTTTGGGTGGGGCCCTCAGTCCAGGGCTCCATTGCTTTGCGCGACCCTGCGAACCCGCTGGACCAGCTGCTGCTGTTCCTGCCGGCGTAAGCTGAGCAGTGCATACTCCCAAGAGGAAGGGGTAGGAAGGCTGCAGTCGACGACAGACTACGCACTGATGTCACATAGGATGTATGATAAGCTCAGGGGAATGCACATAGATGAAGGTAGCCCCAGAAGTCTGGGTAGCGACCACAAACGTATCAAGCTCAGTTTTGGGAGAGCAGTAAAGTGGGAAGGAGACAAGATGAGAACTATAGGAAAAAGGTTATTCAGAAAGGCAAATAGAATTATCTACTAAACAAATTGAGAAAGTAATCACTGAGGATAATAAAACAGTGTCGACATACACGAATCTAATTAGACTGTTTGAGCTGGAACTTGTTAAGACACGTGAAAAGTCACCCCGGAAAAGAAGACACAAACCAAGAATTTGTGGGATGAGGAAGTTAAGAGAGCCATAGCAAAAAGTCAGGAAGCCTCTAGGGAACCCAGACATGCTAAGCAGCGGGGTGAACCGACAGATGATGTTGAAAGAAAATAGGAAATTTTTCTAAGCTGTAGAAGGGATGCATCCATTCTGAACAATGAAAAGATTAGAAGAAAGGGAGCTTAGTGGCTGGCAGAAGTACATAAAAAAGATAGAAAGGCAGCTGCGAAATTTCGGAACCATCTAAACTCCCTAAGAAATGAGATGAGCTTAGAGCGCAGGTTCATAACTACAGCTCAAGGTGCTAGGCCAGAAGGGGACGAAGCTATTGAATATAAGAACAAGGGTGACAGAAAAGTGTCAACAAAGAAGTGCATTATGCAACACAATAGACAAGGATGAATCAAGTGGAGAAATGGCTCCATTTTCACAACGAGAGCGGGAAAGGGCTGAGAATAGGGTTCCTAGTGGTACATCAACAGGCCAATATGGCATTCCAATTATGCTGATAAGACATTGGGTCCGAAGTCTAAGCAGACTTTGAGAGAGGAAGTGAGCAAAAAAATAATTGATGGTGAAGTCCCTGATGAATGGAAACTTAGCAGAATGAGCATGATCTATAAAGGAAAGGGGGACAAAGCTGACATAAAAACACTACCGTTCTATAACAGTGATATCAGTGGTCTACAGGCTGGCGATGCAGATTATCAAGGAAAGACTGCAGGCATAGATAGAGGATGAGGGGGTGCTGGGGGAACTGCAGAATGGGTTTCGGAAACACAGAAGCTTGGAAAACAATCTGTTCTCACTGACGCAGTGCATCGAAATAACAGAAAAGGAACACAGGCCCCTGTGGCCAGCATTTTTGGATATCAAGGGAGCATACGATAGCGTGGTTCAAGAGGACTTATGGGGAATACTGGACACACAAGTGTGGAAGATGGAGTCACTAATCTTTAAAGGATATCTATAAACGTAACAATGTAGTTATAAAGTGGGAAAAACAGGTATCCAAGCCTACGGAAGTAAAACGGGGGCTTAGGCAGGGTTGGCCTCTGTCACCTTTGTCATTCATGATGTACCTAGAAGGATTAGAGGCCAAATTAGAGGGAAGTGGAGTGGGCTTCAACCTATCTTTCGTCAAACAAGGAAAACTCATTGAAGAGGAACTACCAGCATTGATGTACCCAGATGATATAGTGCTAATCGCCGACAACAAGGAAGATTCGCAGAGATTGATAGACATCTGCGGTAATGAGGGAGATAGGTTAGATTTCAGATTCAGTAAGAAAAAATTGGCAGTCATGATTTTAATGATACTCAAGGTAGTAAGCTTCGAATTCAGGAGGTCATACTTGAGATAACAGATAAATACAAATATCTGGGCGTACGGATAAGCAGTGGGGCCGAGTACCTAAGGGAACACAAAATATACGAGACGACTAACAGCAACAGGAATGCAGTGGTGAAGAAAAACAGGGCACTGTGGAATTACAATAGGTATGAGGTTGTGAGAGGAATATGAGTAGGGGTCATGGTTCCTGGTCTGACGTTCGGCAATGCGGTGTTGTGCATGAGATCAGAAGTTCAAGCAAGATTAGAAATTAAGCAACGTGGAATAGGTAGGCTTGCCTTAGGAGCTCACGGGAATACACCAAATCAGGGAGTACAAGGTGATATGGGATGGACATCATCTGAGGGCAGGGAAAATAACAGCAAGATAAACTTTGAGAAGCGGTTGAGAGAAATGGGGAAGGAGCGTTGGGCTATGAAGGTATTCCGCTACTTGTACATGAAAAATGTCGATACAAAATCGAGGAACGAACCAGAAATTAGACTGGTAAATACTTAGAAAACAACAGGGGCAAACCAAAAATAATAATTGGTTAAGAATAAGGCAAAGGAAGCTGAGACCGATATGTGGAGAATCAGCATGCTTAAGAAGTCCGCACTAGAGATCTAACAAACTTTAAACAGGAAATTGCCGAAGAAAGGATCTATGATAATACTCGGGGTAGTTCTCTACTGTTTGAGGCCAGGACGGGAGTATTGCGAACCAAGACATAACCAAGACAGACAGACAGACAGACAGACAGACAAGACAGACAGACAGACAGACAGACAGACAGATAGATAGATAGATAGATAGATAGATAGATAGATAGATAGATAGATAGATAGATAGATAGATAGATAGATAGATAGATAGATAGATAGATAGATAGATAGATAGATAGATAGATAGATAGATAGATAGATAGATAGATAGATAGATAGATAGATAGATAGATAGATAGATAGATAGATAGATAGATAGATAGATAGATAGATAGATAGATAGATAGATAGATAGATAGATAGATAGATAGATAGATAGATAGATAGATAGATAGATAGATAGATAGATAGATAGATAGATAGTAGATAGATAGATAGATAGATAGATTGCATTTTCAACGTTGCCACTCATGAAAAAGCAGGTCAGCATGTCTATTAGACAAGCATGCTCCTGCACACGCTACATCTGACCCTGAACAACTTCTCCAAGCCGGTACTCTACATTTCTCTAGAACAGAAATATAAAAGATGGTACAACTGAATTGAAGACGGTACTCTACATTTATCTCTTTAGGTCCTTTTTTGAGAAACTGAGCCAAGATAATATAACATTTCTACAGCAACGCGATGTCCTTTAGCATGTCATCTGCATGTCCCTAGGTCTACGTTATCAACTATAGATCAACTGGTCTTAATGATTTGAATAATGAAAAACCAATGCCATTTACACTGATCATGCGAAACACTTTGTTACCACATGTTTCGAAGACTATTTATCAAGCGCAACATGAGCTATACGGTACCAGTGATGCGGCCCAAACTGCGTCCGGTCGTGTTGAGAAAGTGGCGGCCGCAGAAGCCACACGCTTGGCCGCCTAGGCTAAAGCCGATTACGTGTATGTTGGCCGGATCCACAGCTTCGGGAAACTGGTGCACCAATGATTGCAGTGCCAGTGACACTTGGCGCCCGATGAGTGCGCTGTTGCCCACCGCCGCAAAGTAGTGCGGGGCGCGACAGCCGTTAGCCCAGTCGACCAGTATGACGTTGGCGTCCTCCTGCGAGTAGCATTCTCGGGGCTGAGTGCCTTATTCGCAAGGTAATCAACAATGAATATGAAATGCTAGCCTTACATGTTCGATCCGAAAGCAAGTCAAAAACAGCAAAAAAATATCTGGGCTCACTTTGAGAAAGTGCTGCAACGGTGCTTCATCACAGTGTTTGTATTAAACACTATCGTCGCTTCTTAAGTTAACCTCTAGGTGCCGCAGTATGGAGCAACGCAAAATCTAAAACGTAAAAGTTACCAGATCTGTCTCGCCATCTTGCACTTAAGACGCAATGAAATAGCGTTCGAATTCTCTCGCAATGAAAAAAAAATATTAACCTTCTTGAGCAGAGCCTCCTTGGTGTAATGGAGCCACCGAGAACCTACGGACTGCGTGAATCCGTGTATGAGGACCACCAGTTTCCTCGGTTCCCGGAATATATGAGCATAGGAAGCGATCGATTTCGGCCCTGTTTCCATAAACACTGTCGGAATGTCGTTGTTGCGCCGGCTGTACACGTGGAACTGCGTGCCCACGTCTCGTGGGTCCTGGGGCAGAGCTATCGGATGGGTCATGCGGTCCCGCCGGGAAAAGCAACCGACGTCGGTGTAACAGACAGGCTCCTCCTGCAGTAGCTCTATCGTCTTTCGTTGTTGCTGAAATAAAATCAACAGGCGATGTGTCTACATTGACGGCCTGCAGACTTGTTCCTTCCATTACTCAACTATCAAATCGTGAGAAAAAGTCCATCGTTCACACTTTACAAAACACGAGTTTTTCATCAGAAGGTGGTGTTTCTAAACCACACGGGCACAGGAAAGTCTGTAATGACAAACGATGCATTATTTTGAGCGCAAATCTATAGGGTGTTGTATTGTACAGCTATTACAGTCTATTTGTCTTCCATTTTCACAAGTATACCACAACGAAAATATTTTTCGGAACATGCTTATTTCGCACTTGTCACGCGAGGTCATGAAACTGCTGTGCCTGCACACCTTATAGTGATGCGTACAAATTTATTATGCCTGATTGTTCCGAATAAAAGAAAGTTTTTTCCACTTTTACGTTGCGCATTTTCCACTTGTCTCTCACTTGATAAACATAACCAATGTGTATGCACTAAGGCTGGCGTTAGTATTCGGAAATAAACACCTTTCGGAATAGTCGTATACTACCTCTTCTAAAGGAAATACGCGATGCCTACCCGCCGATCACTTCAGCGATGGCTGCTCAGATGCACCGGCAGTAAAAAAGTTTATACCAAAGGAATTAATGTGAAAGTGGGACATAAAGGAACAAAAAAGTCATGCCGAAACTCTACACGATTGCCCAAGATAATAGCATTTTTATCTCGCTGAATGGCCCGTATATAGCCGATATGAAATGAATGTACTAGCGAGATACTGAAAATCGTGTGTTCATGATTCTAAGAAATTGGTAATTTTACACATTTGACTTTACTTTGAAACGTTTTGCCTGAGTAAAGGCAAATATTTTTGCTTGAGTGAATAAATTAATCCCGACCGAGTCTGTCCGGCCAGGCCGGCGGTTGGAATTGCAGGCCGGGTCGGGCACACCCCACCATAAGTGATAATAATGAAGTGCTTTAATTCTCCAGTCAGAGAGAAGTTGGCTATGGAAGACCAGCGCTGGATATAGGTGGCGCGGCGAAAAAGAGCCCCTGGCGCAGAGTTACGACCCAACTCAGCCGTTTCCGCCCAGACGACCGGCCGCAGTGTGCCGCGATCAAAGCGCGCGGGTGCGCCGCTGCTATGCTTCCTTTTGGAATGAACAGCTCGAAAATCCATTGCGGCAGCAATAGTGCACTGTGGTTTATAGAAAAAAAACTTTGTCCGAAGATTACTCTCTCGTAGAAAGCACTAAAAAACGGAGAGAAGCCCGCAAGTGGACAGGGTATATGTATATGGCATCGAAGGGACAGAGCTGTGCCGTAATGGTGACTCCCTCGCCCTCATTTTCTGGTTGCTTGTTGGGTTTTGTGTTGAGCTAGTGCGAGCCGACATGCCACCATTGAAAAGTCCGTGCTGCGGCGATACCACGCTGCCCACATCTATGGTAAAACACAATATACAAAAATAGAGGAAGATGTAGCTGCGTCAATATTTTTCTCGCATCATATGTATACGCCCTGTGCCTGGTATGCACAGGGACGTTCATCGAACAAACTGGGGCAGCATAGCATGTGTGGTGTCGCGCTGCTATGCTTGAAAGCTAGTGATAGATTCCCGACCACGGTGGCCCCACTTCCGAGGGGACAAAATACAAGAGCACCTGTGAACCAACATATATGCAGGCACCAGAGAACCCCAAGTGGTCACAATGGACCTGATACCCACACTACCGCGTGCCTCAACATTATATCTTCTTTATTGTTTACACAAGAAAGCCTAGCAATTATCGATGTTCAACAGACACCTATAGTTTAAGCCGGCACAGGCAAGTGGAAAAACAATGTGGGTTAGGAGATCTAAGCAACCAGTGAAAATCGAAGAGATTTGATATTTCTCTAGCAATGGCATAAATTCCGATTTTACTTAGCCATGGCGGCCACTGAAAAAGAACCTTACTGCATTCGCTGACTACAAAAAGCTAAGCTTCGAGTAGTTCACTGCTTTGTTCGTAACTAGAACCCTGTCTTTAGGAGAAATTAACTTAAACAGAGGCATATCACCATCGAGGATTCACTGCGAGAGTATCTTTTATAACAGTTCGGAGGCGTAGGCAAACGAGCCCCCCCCCCCCCCCAAGTTTTTTTGCAGACAAGACAGCATTTTAAATACTATAGTCTTCTTGGGGACCTTCGACTCCAAAATTTTCATCTGTCTGTCTGTCTGTCTGTCGTCTGTCTGTCTGTCTGTCTGTCTGTCTGTCTGTCTGTCTGTTTGTCACCAACTACGAGAGTATTTTTAATAACAGTTGGAAGGCGCAGCCAAACGTGCCCCCCCCCCCCCCAAGTTTTTTCTAGACAAGACAGCTTTTTAAATATGATAGTCTTTCTTGGGGACCTTCAGCGCAAGAATTTTTGATCTGCCTGTCTGTCTATTTGTCTCTTTGTCCACCCTTAACGCGAACCGGGTACACTAAACGGCCCCAGCCGATACCCAAAACGGCCGACCCCATCCGCAGCGCCCACCAATGTTGCTCAAGATTCAGGGTTCATACTTGTGCGATTGTCAATTAAAAATCAATTATCGCGCATTTCTGAGGCATCATAACAACACGCATATATTTTGTATGTGCGTCTTTTACTAAAAAAAGGCATACATAAGTAATGCTAAGGACCATAGCGTTTATCACGTGGCGCTGACCATGCAACGCTTGCGCGAAAAGGAGTTTTTCCAACGCTTTTTTCTACATAACTGTATACAAATAATGTAGACTGCCTGCCTATCGTATCATTTATTTTAAGTGGTGGCACCAGATTGAGGTCAGTGGTGGTGGTTAGATAGATGTATCTATCAGAGTTAGTTCGTCCTGAGGTGCACTACTCAACGCTCAGCGGGCTAGGTAAAAAAAATTACATTTGCCGTATGCTGCACAAGGCGCTTGTTTTATTTCCGCCAAAACGTCGTTTAAGTTCGACTGTCTAGCCCTGGCTTCCACTGGCGGATGTTTTCACTACCAAATAAATATGGCAGACACGCGCCATTCGGTTTAGAAACCAGCCCAATACTAGACAGGAGAGCAATAGCAGGACATACTATATATGCTCGCCTGACCACTTGTATGCTACACCACCTCCTCTTTTATTGATTTGATTAAGAAGGAAAAACGTAGATGGATAATCCACCCTTTTTCTACATATCGTTCCACTTGGACACGCAGCAGTACCACCAGTTTCCTTTCGTTTTTTTACGGCGATTTACGCCCACACAGCCACCACTCTTATCTGCGGAAGCGGCTGAAAACTGCGTGCATTGACCGCCAGGGTGGCCGGGAAAACTCTAGCGCTGGTTCTCTATAGTACTCTTGTCTGGCAGTTATAAAAGATTGAAAAAATTACACAAGTTTTTTCAAAAAAGACATTTTAACAATTCGGCAGATGCCACGAGCCTTGGCAATCGATGTTATGCGATGCATGAGGATGGAAGGTGGCTGTATGTGTTGAAATTTTTTTATTGAGCGAAACGTCACGAAGTGGTGCTAAAAACGTGCATACATGCACGCACAGGTATATTTTTAACAGCTGTATAAGTTTTATATCATGTTTTATGTCTGCGTGTTCTCTGTGTAACCTGGTGTGCGCTGCCATATGCTGTTATACAACCAGTTGTTTACAGTTGCGTAACGATGCCAACAGCAACATGGATATCAGGAACACCAGAGATGGTTAGCTGATATGAAACGCTGGTGCTCGATGGTAGGCCTGGACACTGCTACATACACCAACTTTAGCGGATGGCACCTAACCACAATTTACGTTAACCCGACGTGACAGCTGTATTGTAGCAGTACACTTGTAATGTTTAAAAAAATTGGATAGGCAGCACAGCAATCACAATTGACGTTTCACGAACACTATTGGGTCTATTTGACAAATATTGAAAAGTATTCCGAGACTTGGCGTGGCTCTGTGGTAGAACACTTGATTGCCCGCTAAATTCTGGGGTTTGATTTCGGCTGGAACCCTGACATTTATTATTTGCATTTGTCGAGCCAATGCTGCCTATGTGAGTTTTTTTAACGCACACGCAATAAAATTAGCCATATCTCTTCTCGCCGTACCTCCAGGGGTAGAGTCAATCACCAGTAGCACACAGCGCCCACGGGTATGAGCCATACGTCTTGCAGAAAGGTAAATGGTTTGACAATGTATGCGACTGGATTATCACATTACTCATGTCATCACCAGCGAGTCATAATCATCAAACCATCTTACTCTCCTAAACCTGTTTTGGTTCACTCAGTGTTAAGGGTGTGATCGCAAGAGCACCCATACGTAGGAACGCCTGGATAGATAGATAGATAGATAGATAGATAGATATAGATAGATAGATAGATAGATAGATAGATAGATAGATAGATAGATAGATAGATAGATAGATAGATAGATAGATAGATGATAGATAGATAGATAGATAGATAGATAGATAGATAGATAGATAGATAGATAGATAGATAGATAGATAGATAGATAGATAGATAGATAGATAGATAGATAGATAGATAGATAGATAGATAGATATAGATAGATAGATAGATAGATAGATAGATAGATAGATAGATAACATTTATTAAAATATTTTATGATACTGATAGATTCTCAATGTGCCTGGAGTACGCAAACAAATGCTTCGCATTTGATAAAACAAATTTTGATACAGTCGCTCTTAGCTAACAAAAGTTCACTGAACAAGGCCTGTATTCACACACACAAAAAAAATTTGTTGTTTGCTTGATCAACGCCTCTGGAAAGGCATAATATTTTTCTGCTAGATGGACATAGTTGTCTATTTTTAGAGCTGTTTGAAAGTTCCTGCGTGTCTTTAGCGGTGATGGTTGCACTATCCCGGCCTTTTTCGAAGCAGTTTAAGGCCTCTCTACACATCGCCCAATGGGCTCGTTTCGTCGTGGCACCTGTCGAACGAAATGCGTCAAAGGGGCCCTGAAACACTTTTTCAAGTAATTATGC